CCATGTTTAAGATCTTTGATCATGTCACAAATAAGAATTAGCTCGAGATAACAACTTCTTAGCAGTATGATTTAACAGATATTATATTTTCACGTTTTATGAATACAATATGTAAGAATTGAGTCCACTCTAATTATATAGTCAGTATACTGGCTGATAACTGGGTTTAAGGAACTTGTGCAGCATTTGCTATTCAAGAATCTAAACAAAAAACAAATGATGGTCATCAAGTACTGCTTCTTTCTTTCTTTCTCAAAATGTTAACGTTGCAGAGATATAAAATTACATCAACTGTGAAAGGCAAGCAAAGCTGCTAGCTTCTTGACTAAAAATACACATACAACGTTTTTCTATAAAAATGTAACATGCTCGTACTTCAGTTGTGTAAATAAAGTGTCCGTAAAATTAACCCAACTAATAGAAAAAACGATATGCCCAAAACATTACTTAATATGGAAAAAATGAAACATAAGTATCATGTGCACAAAGAAATGTCAGATGCAGTTTGTACCAGATACCTGACTTATCTATACGCTCTGAACCTGCAAGATCCACAACAACTAGCTTGCTTTTCGTTGTAATTTAAATTTGGTAGTTTAGATTTGAATTTCGAATTTGGTTTTAATTTGGTAGTTGAGTGATTTGAGGGAATTTTATTTGTTTCCATTTTGTTTGCACGTTGTGTGCACGTAGTAGTTTTCTTTATAATAAGGTTGTATGAGACTTATGAAATTATTGAATATTGAAAAATGAAAATTTGAGTTAATTGACTTTTGGTGTGAAACCTAGGTCTTGGGTGTGAAAGCCTAGACCAATATTCCCTTTCTCCTCTTTTCTCCCAACCGCCAAAAATTCCTCTATCTTCCCCACGTCAAAAAAAACAACAACAAAAAGAACCTTAAGCTTTCAATCAGCAAGAAGCCATGGCCACTCGCAAATCAAGGGCAACATCGTCGACACCGATCAGGTTTTAGTAGAAGAGAAAGGATGCGTCATCCTGCTCCTCGTCTTCAATCTCAAACCCATCTCTCTTCGGGCAGCCGCGCCACCGCCTTCGATCTCCTCGACTCCCTTGCCGACGCCGACGCCCCTGTCTCCGAGCAGCCCCAACAACCGCCGCCTCCTCGTTGATCGTCGCTGCTCAACAGTCGTCGCTCCTTTCCCTTAAGTCGAAGAACGACGACGAAGTCCCTTGGATCTGTTTCTCTGGGATCGGATCTTCTTTACTTCATTTGGATCTGATTTCGTTTGGGTCAGACTGCTGAAATTCTTAATGGTGACGTGTGTGTTTGGGCTTCACTGTAGAAGCTAACGGGTCTTGGATTTCTTTCGGCATTTTGAATAGTAAACTCTCAACTCAGTAATTTTCTGTTAATCTCATAATTGTCAGTTAATTGCATGCATATTAAATCTGTAAACTATTATCATATATTCACTGCTTAATCTATTTTTGTGAGTTGAGAGAACTGAGCATGTGACTGTTAATTTTGATATTGATTTTTGAACTTGCGCAACGATAATAAATACTGCAGTTAAATATATCGAGATTGGAGTTGTTCATAACTATTGTTGCAAATCTTGTTAAAACTCATCTATCGTATTAACTGTTTTATTTAATTTCCTACCGAATATCATGATTTTTGGCGAAACGGTGCGTTGTTCAAATCACTGCTTCCAATAGACACCCTGTTTTCACTGCTTAATCTATTTTTGTGAGTTGAGAGAACTGAGCATGTGACTGTTAATTTTGATATTGATTTTTGAACTTGCGCAACGATAATAAATACTGCAGTTAAATATATCGAGATTGGAGTTGTTCATAACTATTGTTGCAAATCTTGTTAAAACTCATCTATCGTATTAACTGTTTTATTTAATTTCCTACCGAATATCATGATTTTTGGCGAAACGGTGCGTTGTTCAAATCACTGCTTCCAATAGACACCCTGTTTCGTTTCGCATCAGAGTGCCTAGACCACTTTCTGAAACAATGATTTTAATCAATCTCTTCTTTTTGCTTTAACAAGACTATTATCCTCACTGACATACCCAATTAATAATCCTAATTACATGCATCTTATGCAGGCTTCTTTATGGACTATTTCTAAGTTTCTTTCGCAGAATATGATATATTGTTGTTGCAATCAATTATAAATAAAATTAAAAGATCTTAGAAATTAACTACTATGTAGTAACTTTATGCACTACTATTATCCTCATTGACATCACAATTAATAGTCTTAATTACATGCATCCTACGGAGGCCTCTTGATGAACTATTTCTAAGTTTCTTACCAACATAATAGGCATATTGTTGCTGCAATCAATTATAAATAAAATAGATCAATTGATTCTTCTGTTCATGCTTCCTTAGAAGTGTTTTGTTTAGGAATTAACTATTATGTAGTAACTTTATGCTCTACAATCTGCGCCAACCTTGACTCTCTCTCAATTTTAAGAGACACATTCATGTTATTGCTTGAAATGAGAACAAAACATTAGATGTCTACCAAGCATGCACCTTGCAAAAGAAAGCAAATATGCAATCTCCAATAGCTTGCATCTAGGGCCAACATCAGAAAGTAAAAGCTGAACATAGGACCCATTCCAACAAAGTCACCTGTCACCTTACTACAATTTACATCAAATGAACCCCACACCCTCATCCCCACCCCGGAAAAAAAAGAAAAAGAGAAATCCACCCACCTAGCTTCAGCAATTTTAAAGAAAGCGCCTATGCCTCTCTTTTCTCCTTCATCTCACTTTAGTAATTTCCCATTCCCTCAATAGAAACAACATACAAGTCTCCACCGCATTCAATTTTCATTTAGGGCTGAATGTGGAAAGATGCATGCTTTTCCACCTTGCAATTTGAATTTACTTTAGCAACATGTTTATAGCCCATGTATCCGTTAAAATATTTGATAGGTGTGTGAAAAGGGAGGCAGATTCTGATTTTCCAACTCTTACTAGAGGATCAGTTCAATATAAGGGGAAAGGTTGCTCGGTGCAAGAGGACAGATGTCTGTATACAGACATGTGAAGAGCTGAAGAAACTTTCGGCGACGCTTGAATAGAAGTCTACGACACATCTGGTTTAGCATGACATTTGTACAAAATCGTATAGATTAATTGTATCAATAAGGGAAATATTAGGAATAGTTACAAGATTTCGAGAATAAAAAAGAGATCTGGGATTTGATCTACCAGACTCTTATAAATATTTAATTAGATTATTATGATTGAATGAAACAAGGACATACTATTGTCCTCATCTTATCTACTTGTTCTTCATCCTCTCTAAACCCCAATCCTCATCTACCTTCTCTAATCTCAGATCTTTTCCTTTCTTTGTCCTATTTCTTCTATCAATATCCGATCTTCTCCTTTGTCATATTTCTCCCATCAATCTCTAATACATTCACGAAAATCCTATAGCTGGATGTACTAACAGTCGAATTCAGAATCTTGCACCTGACATCTTATGCGCTCTAGTTCTGAGAAAGATGAGAAATACCAAAAGATCAAAGAAACCTTTGTGATCCCCAATTTCCTTGCATGTCCCCATGAACTTGAACAAATTGCCACAACCAAATTTCAGAGAAATACCAAAAGCTCGTGCCTCCAATGGCCCATTGGGTTCTTTCGTTTTAGTTTGTACTTTCTACTCTGCTTGTCTCGAAATTTGGGCTACTTTAGAAGGGAATATGTTTGAGGAACAAACTTGAATAATATTAGGATAAGTATGTGAGTTAACCCCAACCTGTGAATAAGAAAAGTGGAAGAGATATCTGAATGGGGCCCAAGAACAAAAGGGTTAACTGTTTGGATTGAGTGAGCACAGAGTTAATACACATGCCTCATTGGACAACTTTAGTTTTCTCCTTAAGAGTTAGAACTACAGGGGGAAAACAGATTCGTGCACTGATATTATAATATTTTGGATACAGGCTTTATTGTTGTGTTGACAGGATGTTATTTAAACTCAAATTCACTTGCCACGTTTTCTCTATTATATCTCCTGGATCGAGGATTGGAGCTTCACACTGCTAACCCATTAAATAGATAAAAACATAATATGAGCTTTATATCACTGAATAAGAACCAACAAATAAGTTCTGAGTCAACTTGACTAGTAATCTCGGGGACTTGATAACATTCTAGGCAGTTAATAGATTGTTCTCTGAAAATAAGTAGGGTCTTCCTACGCAGCATATCGTATTAGATAATGTATCTTCAGCATTGACATATCATAATAGAGGAACAAGACTGCAAATCGTGTAACACGACTACTATTTCACTATGGATGATGAGTGTATAGAAATTTAAGCTCATTTCTACAAAAGACTATAAGACGTAACAGTAGTGATTTCGACACTGCAATTACAATTTAGTGCATATGCTAGTGGTTTCGATGTTCAACCTACAAGGAAACTTTACAGCTTGATTATTTAATCAAATCCTTTACCTTAAGTAAACCTTCCATGTTTAAGATCTTTGATCATGTCACAAATAAGAATTAGCTCGAGATAACAACTTCTTAGCAGTATGATTTAACAGATATTATATTTTCACGTTTTATGAATACAATATGTAAGAATTGAGTCCACTCTAATTATATAGTCAGTATACTGGCTGATAACTGGGTTTAAGGAACTTGTGCAGCATTTGCTATTCAAGAATCTAAACAAAAAACAAATGATGGTCATCAAGTACTGCTTCTTTCTTTCTTTCTCAAAATGTTAACGTTGCAGAGATATAAAATTACATCAACTGTGAAAGGCAAGCAAAGCTGCTAGCTTCTTGACTAAAAATACACATACAACGTTTTTCTATAAAAATGTAACATGCTCGTACTTCAGTTGTGTAAATAAAGTGTCCGTAAAATTAACCCAACTAATAGAAAAAACGATATGCCCAAAACATTACTTAATATGGAAAAAATGAAACATAAGTATCATGTGCACAAAGAAATGTCAGATGCAGTTTGTACCAGATACCTGACTTATCTATACGCTCTGAACCTGCAAGATCCACAACAACTAGCTTGCTTTTCGTAACAATAGGTGGCTTTAAAGACACCATGGATGATGCATTGCCATTTTGTCTAGAAAAGTCAACTTCACTATCATGCCTTCCTTTGATAGACCTTTTAACATGCACCTACAGAAAAATTTGAGAGGAAGAAAGATTTATTCAGCTGCACTTGAACATAACAAATTTGTAGCAAATATAAATTATGATAACCACTTCTGGGTCAAAACACTTCAATTCTTGGGATTTTAATGGTTCATTCACCATGAGAATAGCATGACTGCGAGATGACTCCGTATTTAGCTTCGTATTCGCGGCAAAGCGATGAGCTTCCCCTAACCGTAGAAGCTCCACAAAACTCATCTGATCTCTAATTTCTACCACAGTTGCCCCAGGTACTGACACGTCTCCTGTCTTTGGATCTTCTACTATAGCAATATTGTCATTTCCAGGGTAAAGAAGGTCTTGAATTGTTTCCATATAGAGCTGTATATAGAACCATAAGGAAGCAACATTAGATCCATGTTAATGCAATATACAGTGCAACCCAGGAAAGTTTCAATTATAAAATATAAATCTAATTTATTATAAGATGGTCAAGTTAGAGAAAAATACCTCTAACCGCTGTCTGAAATCACTTAACTAGCTTCACAGTATCTTTAATTTTAGTTTTCTAACTACATCTAAGAAAATGGTCAATAACCTTTCTGAGCCAAAAATCTGGAAACTTATTCCACAACTCTCAGCTGATGATTTTTAGGATGCAGAATAGTACTGAATTCTTTCTTTTATTAGTACTGAATTCTTTCTTTTATTAGTACTGAATTCTTTCTTTTATTAGTAGCAATGGCATTACGCTGTATGAAGGGTTTAAGTGAAAAGTTGTTTAAAGCTGGAGAAAGCCCAGGCCAAAAAGTTGAGGTTGACATTTCAACAGAAATTCGAGATAGTACTCTTAATTTATTTTTATAAGAAATAACATCCAAATTAGCAAAAGTGCCTTTAAGAGATTTTTCTTGAGGAATCCCTTTAAGAGATTGAGAACCTGCAAGTAGGATACAGAAACAGAATCAGCATCTGGAGATACATATGCAAGGATATCTTCCATTGCACGGACCATAATCCCCCGAGCAGCGGAGTCTTCTTCGCCAAGGCTTCCAAGAGTAAAAGTCTTCCCAGTGCCAGTTTGCCCGTAAGCCATGATTGTGCCATTATATCCCTCTAGGACACTCTATTGCAAAAAAAAAGGCTTTATGAGATAATATAAACAGCAATTGTCTGAAAGATACGTAAAAAAATTATCAAATATTGAGACAATTCATCGACGCATTACTCCCACTGTCCCACAATACCTCTGTTCATAGGCATGGTTGCTAGGAGTATAATTTCCTATGTTATAAACTGAAAACATCTAATATGTCAGTATACTATATAAAAAGAAAGAGGCATTGTTCCTTCTAGTTCTTCTCATAACTAGCTTAAATTAACACATGCTTTTTGCTCTAGAAATTATAATAGAACCATCAGTGCTTTAAACTTGAGTCATCTTGAACCTCAGGCATCAAGACTAGGTGTTTACATGGTCTGATGCCACATGTTACTAATGCCCTGTCATAGCTGGTAAAGGGACCAAGGTACTTCTAAATGATGTTTTCACATTAAAACACTAATTAAGAAAGCCAACAGCTCTAATTCCATTTCAACCTTTCTCTTGATTTTTCCCAACATCACGTATATATTCATACATTTTTGCTACTTGCAGTATATATCAAGGTTAAATAGGGAAAAGAGTCTACATAGGTTCAACCTAGGTTGGCATGGGTAAGGATACTGGTACAAAACATGGCAAATTAAGGTAGGGTACAGGGGTACATTATAAGTAATCCATTAATAAAATTTATTACAATGACCACTCATGTTCCATGGGTTAATTTCGGATAGACCCCTTAATTATAGTTTTATTTTTGCAGATTGATCCGTGAGTGTTTTTTATTTTATTTTTACACACTCTTTTACCCTTAGGTCTGTTTGTAAAAAAAAAAGAACAATTTCCTCTTTCTCTCTGAGAGTAAAGGAGTCAAAATAAATTCACTCGGGGGTGTATCCCCAGTATTAGTAATAAAGAGATCCTTTTGCAAATGGATGATGGGGTGGGTGTTTCTTTTTTCGGTTTTTCTATAGAGTGCCCTTGGGCACTCTATAAGAGAGGAGAGAGATAGAGAGAAATGAATGAGGAGGGGGGCCCCCTGATTTGCATTGGGATCCTCTCTTCATTCATTTCTCTCTATCTCTCTCCTCTCTTATAAAGTGCCCAATGGCACTCTATAGAAAAACCGTAAGTGTATATATATATAGAGAGAGAGAGATATTAATGGGTATCATTGTCATAGGAGGGGATTTCCTCCTTGACGCCTATGTGGCATAATCCCCACCATCCTCATACAATAGGAGAGAGAGTGTGAGTTGGTGGGGATTTGTGCCTACTTTTACGAAACATGGCAAATTAAGGTAGCATACAGGGATACATTATATATATATAGACACACAGACATATATAATGTATATTTATATGTATTAAAATTGATAATTTACATAAGATCAATATTTTTTTCATTTACATATGATCAGTATATAAGAAAAAGACATGACGTTTAGAACATACTTCCAAAAAGTGTAAGTGTATGATTAGTGTTTTAAATTAAAACATGTACTATATAATTGAGTATATGCCTAAATAAACGTATGCATATATTCAATATGTGTCCAAAAAATTCCAGTACGGGTATATGTTGGGTATTGCGTCCTATTGAAGTACTCAGGTAAGATAGGGTTCAACAAAGCAGAGCCACAAAAAAAATTTGTTAGAAGCAAAGTTTACAAAAGCGGAAGCGCAAGGCGAAGCATGAACCTTTTATGAAAGGCGGCATAAGCTTCAAAGTGTGAGGCATAAGCATCACAAGTATATTATAAATTTAAAATTTACAAATTTTATAAACATGCAATATATAGTGGTATGACAATTTACAAATGTATACATGAGTATTGATTACTAAAAAAGAATTAAATATGCTAAGTATAAACATAAATTATGAACTTATAATAAACTAAGCTACATAAATAAGATATATATCTTATTTATATTCACAGGGTCACGTATAAAATAAAAATAAAAAGAATAAATTCTTGACATTAAGGAAAAGAATATAAAAAGTTAGGGGCATTTTGAATTTAGTCAAAAGTCTCTTTACACCCTCCAATCTCGCCTAAGAAGCATGCTCTTCAAAAGAAAAGAGCTTCATGGGCAGCGAAGTTTTTCTTAAGTGAGAGGGCGTATGCTTCAAAGAATAAATAGATTATTATCGTTTGAGCTTTCATTCTGGAGCCATATTGAAAGAAAGTTTCAAAAAGCTTTTTCAAACACTAGTTAAAAGCCATTTCAAAGTCACCATCAAGTGTTAGGCATATTTATGATAGAGGATGGTTAAAACAGGACAAATTTAGAATGAAATGAAGGGTGTTTGTGTCCATTTCAATAAAGGCAGAGATCTTTTCAAATTCTTGTTTTACTTTTTGTTGGTTTTACCTTGTCTAATATTGTGATCTTTACTTGTATTTGATTTCATATCTAATGTCTTTCATTTTTCTTGCTTTTCTTATTTGTTCATTCCAACTAATTGGACTCCTAATACCCTATTTATAATCTCATATATAGTAATATTTTATTAAATATCTTAAAAATTACTATTGACTACTTGGCTAGTACTGATTTTTATTTAGACTCTGCATATTAGTCTTGTTTACTTCTAGTTAGTCGTGTTTGACGAATTTTACGGATTAGAGTCTTTGGAGTATTAGTTTCTTCTGATTTATGCTTTGCCTTTTGCATTATAATTTTGGTAAAACATTGTGCTTTATATCAAGATGTTATATATTGTATGACTGGGTGCTACTTAAAAGCTTTATTATTGAATCTACTTTATCTATTAAATATTTAGTAGTGCATATTTGTCTTGTTTATTTTAGTAATTTGGTTTTTAGAAGAATTTTATAGTTTATACTATTATTTTCTTCATAATATATTTTTTGCTTTTTGCCTTATAATTTTGGTAATGCCTTGTGGTTTACATCTAGATGTTATATTTTCTATGACTGGGTGCTATTTTAAAACGTTATAATTGAATATACTTATCTATAAATATTGGAATGAGTTTTGAACACCGTTTATGATATTTTTTTATAGGTTTGTTAAATATTAATTGCCTCACATTGTTTGTTTGATCGCCTTTTTTGGCCTCATACCAACTAGAGCAATGGAGGACAATGTCCCTTTTCACCTTTGAAACGATGGGATCATATAATAACAAAAAGCAGTCCACTTGTTACACCTACAATGATCTATAAGTTAATAGTTCTCATATTGGTTTTAGGAGAGATTCCAAAATTTCTTTTACAATTTCTATGATGAACAATGTGATGGCAAATATAGCGCAAATGAAATGGTAATGCTAACAATATCAAAGGTTAGATTTGTGCAGATTGCAGTAGACCTTCATCCAGAGCCACATCACATGGTCCAAGGATTAACTCAAACCTGCACCATTACGAGGGGCTGAGACCTATTAGCATTATATATGCATGCACGCAAGCGTGTGGGTGGCAATGTGCTCACACATACATACATACATACATACATACATATATAAAGGTGTATTTAGCTAATGGTTATGAGATGGCACTTAACTTTGTTTAACGAGCTATAAAGAGATAGAGTGGTGAGAGTCACCCACTTGATGTGACTAGAAAGGTGGGCCCCACGAAATGTTTCTCTCAATAGCGCATTTAACAAAATTAGCAACCACCTTATACATTATGATGCACGATGATTGGGAACCATCGATTAAAAATCAATAGGATCTTTCTTTAAAAGGAAATATTTTATATAATCTTTTATTAGGTAGGATTTATTTAGGATTTGATTTTTATTTGATTTGATATTTCTGTTTAGTTTTGTTAGGATTTTGATTAAATTGCATCCTTTAATTATCTTAGGGTATGATTTCATCATTATTTTATTTTGATTTCTTACGTGGTCAGGTGCTTTCCTCTTCTATGAATAAATGTATAATCCTCCTTGCGGAGGAGCCCATTGATCAACAAAAGAGTTACAAAAATTGTCAAGCGTGTGAATTGCTTCTCTTCTTGAGCATGTGAAGTGCTTTGGCAGGTGAATTGTCTCTTTGGCTGTAAAACCTATTCTTTAATGGGGCTTGGGTGTGATGCCTTTTGTTTATTGGTGTGAGGCCTATTTATCTAACTCCCTTTCTTTTTAGTTCTCCCGCTTTCACACCGAAACCCTTGTCCAGTCCCCCATCACATTATCTCATATGTGTGTGTTATAAATATATACATATACTTATATATATATACAACTTTTTTTGTATCCACATTATACAAGTGTTCTAATTTTTTTTAAATTTATCATATCAGCGTGTTTGTATCATGTCATACCTATATCTTACATCCATGATTCCACTTCTATGCCTCACAGGCTTTAGGACATAGCAAGTAAGGGTGGAAAATGACTGAATCGAATTGAATATCTCAATATTCAAATTCTAACTCAAGTGTATTTGAAATATTTGAATTCTAATTCAAGTTCAGCTTGAATATTACAATAGTATTCATATTTGATTTGTATATATACTGGCTTATTCGATAAACCCAATTGGTTGACGGCTTTGAATCCAAAACTCAAGGTCTTTGGTTCGAACCATTAAAACTCATAATTTTTCCTTAATTTACGTTTTAGGAGATATTTGCATATACACCCACCATATGATATATATTTGTAATTCTATCCTCCACAGCATCATAATTGTTGATTTCTTTCTAAATTGCTTCTTTTATTCAAGTTTATTCCTCAATTTAGATGTTTTTCTAAAATGTCTAATCTATCATTTAATAAATATAAACATAATTGAATATTTAATAATCAAAGGAATCACATATATATGGTCAAATTCTATTCATTTATTAATCAAATACTAAAAATATTGTTTTATTGTTAAATGAGCTACTGAATCGAATATGACTGAATATTTGGACGAACAATAACAGAACTGCATGTTAATTATTTAACTCATTTCCACCCTACTAATAAGCACCTCCGATTGGGTATTCTACAAAATTCACTCCAGATGGAATTGAGATATGAGTGAGAATTAAACTGCTCATTAAATTTAGGTGGTAAGAGAGCTAGCAGGGAAAAGGTCAATGCGGAGAAAACATGCAGTGAGACAACAGAAGTTTGCAAATTATGACAAGAATTGTTGGATCTACTAAATTTTGGAATACATAAAGAGTACAGCAACAAGAAATGCAGAGGAGATAAAGATAGGTAAACAATTATAGGAACACTAAAAATGAAGGTACTGAAAATAATGCCTTTACTACCTTTGTAATGGTTTAACATACTCCTCAAATGTTCAACAGAACATCATTCCATAAATGTAAATAAATTTAGAAAGTTGATAAAATAAATAATTCACCAGGATGAAGGATTACCAACGAAAACACAAACTACTTTCAGGTCATCTATTTAATCATACCAAAAAAAATCTTCAAATTCAATTACATATTGAGATATTTAATCACAACAAGAAATTGTAGTGCTCTTTTTCAAACTGAGATATAGAATGTTAAATGATTTTTTTTTTAAAAAACATGCAGCACGATAAATGCAATATATACCTCAACAACTGGTTTAGCGACAACTTCATAAACACGTTTTTGTGAGGCAAATTCTGTGAGTACTTCATCGAACTCATAGGTGTCTGAATCCCAATTGTTTTTGCGAAGTTTTAACCTTTTAACCTACAAGGATGACAATCAATAAAGTTATGATAAAGGCATATCTCAGATGAGCCATTAAAATATTAAACAATCTGAAAACAAAAGATGTATAGAGCGACAATGCTTCTACAACAAACCTCTGGCTGCAATTCAACACAATCAGCGAAATCTGCGTCTGCTACTGACTCTTCTGCATTGCGAGGTCGAAGTCTCAAGGCAACTCGAACTCTTCCGGGAACTGCTAGTGCCAATGGAAGAAATATAAAGATGTCGATAAAGGTTTAGGAGGTAGCTCCTTTAAGAAATGCAATAGTTAACCAATTGGGGATATATACATATCTATACATACATATGTATGTATATATGTATACATGTATGTGTGTTATATACATACATATGTATGTATATATGTGTATATATGCATACATATGTATGTATATACACACATACATACATACATATATATACATATATATACATACATATGTATGTATATAACATACATATGTACACATGTATGTATACATATGTACACATATGTATGTATGTACATATATATATTACATATATGTACCTATATATAATATATTAGTATTATATAGTATATATATCTAATATATCTATATATATGTACTTATATATATTGTATAGCATATATGTATGTAATTATATACATAGATATGTATACATTATATGTATACATATGCATATATACATATGTATGTATATATCATATACCATTAATGATGTATACATACATATAGAGATATATGTATAAATATATATATATATATATATAGAATATGATATATTATAATATATATAATAAATAATTATAATAATATAGTTATTATCAAGGTTTTAAAATATGTATACACATATACCATTAATACATATGTAATGTAGTTATATAGGCAATATACTATAATTATGTATACATAGCATTATAGAGATATATGTATAAATATATTATAATATATATATATTAATAATATATATATATATATATATAATCATATATATAATAGGTTTTAAAATGTCGATGTCGGTCAATGTCGGATGGCTGAAACCCATGTCGGAAGCGAAAATCGGGATATACCGGAGACATTGACTAAATATCAGATTGTTAGTATTCGGGTAGTGCGCATATGTATAATATCATGTCCTAAATATAATCTAAAGATTCATAAATCAATATAATACTTTATAAATTTCTATGAGACTAACGCATAATAAAAAGTAGAATAATATAAGATTTTGGGTTCATATATTTTTCTATCGGGGTTCATAAAGAAACCCTTAAACATGAGGAACAGGGTCAATATCAGGGTTTGGGTATTTATCACTAAACCCCAAAACCCGAGTAACAAAAACAGATCTAAAAAAGTATCATATTCGGCCATATTTTCAAAGCTAAAAATAGGCTGATATCCCGATATGACCCTGATATTTCGCGATTTGGCCCTGAAAACCGCCATACGAGCGTTGAAGCGTCCATGTGTGTCGTCAGAATGCGCTCGAACCGATCATATCTGCACTAGCCCGAGCATGTCGGGCCGACATTAAAACCTTGATATATAATATCCTAATATATATATATAATATATTATATAATATAATATTTATAATATATATATATATATATAATTATATATATAGGGTATTATCAGGCATATGTAGGCTATATATATATATATAATATATATATACATATATTATATGCAGTACATACATATGTAGGCTATATGGATGGGTATATATTATAGTATCATATCATATATATATATATATAGCATGATTAATCTACATTTTATAACAATTTTTATACCCTCATTATGCTAATTTTATATGAATAAATAAACCACTAAAATTGCTTTAATCTGTTAATTGGCAGGTAATGATGAATAAATTCAACTCAATATCTCAACAAAAAACCACTTGAATTATGACAGAAATGAAAGGCCCATGAAGGCCAGGAAGAATTCTTTAAAATTTAATGAAGAAATAATTCAAGCCCAATGGAAAATTAAGAGAAATGCAAGCCCAAAAGTCCAAGCAAAGGCCCCAAGACACAAGCCAAAGCAAAATACAAGAGTATTCTGCGTGAACACAACAGGAGAAAGAGCAGGCAATCGATGCCTGCATCGATGCCTGCATCGATGCCTGCATCGATACCGACATCGATGCCTGCATCGATGCCTGTATCGATGCCTGCATCGATACGCTGGGCAGTCTGTTACGAATCTAAGGCTGAAATTTGTTGTTTTTGGATAAGATTTCAATCCAATGGCTCTCATTCACTGATGTTTACTATAAATAGGGGTAGAGAGTGAGGGGTTAGAGGTGTGAAAATTTTGTAAACTCCTTTTGGAGAGGAGGGCTACTCTTAATTGAGAAGGCCTTCCAAAAATTGTAACTTTAGTTGCAATTAATAAAAATAATTTTTTCCTCTTTAAATTTGTTCTTTCTCCTCTTGTTGAATGATGAGGATGGAGATGAAGAGCAATTTGAAGGTTTGCATTTCTTTTCTCTTTTATTTCTTTTTAGTAATTTCTTTATTATTGCTTATTAGTTAGATTTAAATTCATGCTTGTAGTATAGATTTACTTTCTTGTCTTTTTTATTTTCTTTTTGCACTTTAATTTGTAGAGTAGATTTATTTTTCTTGCATTTAATTTCTGCAATTTATTTTGTAGTTTAGATTTTTATTTTCTTTGTAATTAGATTTATTTCTTGTTCATAGTTTAGATTTTTCTTTTCTTTTTAATTTTGTAATTAGTCTTCTTTTTCTTGTTTTTATTTCTTAAGATGTGAATTTAATTCTTGTAGGAATCTTAGAATTGTATGAAACTAGTCTAATTTCCTTTATATTGTATGAATTATTCTCTTGTACTTAAAATGTTCATGTTTAGGATAATCAACTAGAGAACTAATCGGTAGAAGAAGAATTTGATAATCTATGCTTATCTTAAATGGTTTGATAGGTTATGCTTATGAATTCTAGGATTATTATCATGTTGTTGTTCTTATCATGAATAGTAATTTTAACTTAGATGATAATTTGATAGGTTACACTTTCCTTAAATGGTTTGATAATCTATGCTTAATAAATCTAAGTTGAAATATGATAAAAAGAGAATAATTTGTATTTTATAATTGAAATTGGTTAGTGGATTATATTCTAGATTTCTTACCTCTTTTAAATCCTCCATCTTGACTTTCTTAAATTCTCTTTTCATTCTTGGTTTTATTTCTTGATTTTATTCATTCATCCTTCTTGCCTTGTGATTTCATTTATTCTTTAATTCTTCCTTCTCTCCTCTAAAATTCAATTTATTATCTTTTGCAAATATTCACAACAATCACTCATCACATTCACACTTATTCTTTATTCCTAATTGTCACGCATAAAATATAAGAATCATTTCTAATAATCTCTTAAAATCACCTTCCTCGTGGGATCGATATCTTTTTATACTATAACTTGATAAATTGTGCACTTGCAATTTTGGTACATAATTATGCCGCATCAATACATATATATATATATATATATGCATATATATATACATACATATGCCTACATATGTATGTATATATATGTACATACATACATATATATATATATACACACACACATATATATACATACATATGTAGGCATATGTATGTATATATATATGCATATATATATGTATATATATATATATATATGCATATATATATATACATACATATGCATATATATATATACATACATATGCATATATATATATATATATATATATATATATATATATATATATATATATATATATACATATATATATATATATATATATATATATATATATATATATGCCTACATATGTATGTATATATATATACATATATATACATACATACATACATACATACATACATATGTACACATGTATGTATGTTCATATGTACACATATGTATGTATGTACATATGTATATATACATGTATATATATACATATAAAGTTTACTTCGGTCCATTTAATTTGTCTGTTTACAGCAACATGGGACGAAACTAAATTAGTCTCTACTAAGACCATCTTTCCTGACTTTGTATGCACTTTAGCTTTAGGTGCTAACGTGCTTAAATCTTTATAATGGATGCGGTATATAATCGTAATGGTTTCTGATCAAGATAAAAATTCATATCCATGAGTTTTAATGTTAAGGCTCATGGCTTCTAGTATATTAGGATCAGTTAGAGATAAACTCAGATTTTGGTATATATTAAAATATATAGGTCAGTTACAGCTCTTAGTGCTCTGTGACGAAGGCAGTGACGCTAGAATTCACTAGCAAAAGGCAATGTTGAAAATAACGCAAGAAAACAAAAATGTCGGCAGATAGTGCGTTGCTTTAAGTCTTCTTCATGTCACCTCCAACCAGCTGGGGAAAAGGCAATTATTTCATAAAATTCCTTTCTCAACAATAAATAAGGCTGAAGGTTTTTAGTTCGGTGTGCTCATATTTTGCCTTTCTTCTTTGTCTTTCCTTCTTTCCTCTTGTAAAGGTTAGCCGTCCTCTATACACACACACACATATATATATATAGAGAGAGAGAGTAAAACTTATGTAAACTTAAGTTGATGGTCCACCAAAGTTTCTATCCCTTGATGTTGCCTAGGGATCCATGCAAGTTATGAAATCAAGGGATATAATATATATATATATATACATATGTATACATGTATACATACATATGTATACATGTATACATACATATGTACACATGTATACATACATGCTACATGTACAGACATGTATATATATACATATATAGGTATCTATGTATCTATGTGTGTGTGTGTGTGTGTATTTATGTATATATGTGTGTATATATGTATGTATGTATATCTACGTATATAGAAAAATAATAAAATGAGATGGAGAGATGAGATTATTATCGTGAGCTAGCCCAACAGGCTATCCAATATGATGATCTGCACCATCCATCCTGACTTACACCACACATGATCTACATGTAAAAAAACTATATCATGCAAAAAATAGTTGATATTTATCCAGCACCTTATTGTGTAAGCGTATAGAGCCACATAATCTATATAATAATTAAGAAGGTGAATAGAGCTACACTATCAGTTTGAGTGCATAATTCTTATAGGTTGCATAGATGTAAGATTGTTTTCTTCACCCATTACTACTTCTTTAGTTGTTCAATAGTAAGTAAATTTGCTAGTGGATGTAACTTGTAAGATGATGCTTGTTAAGGTCTTTGTCATAATTAGTTTTATTATTCAAGGATTTAATTATTACCTTAACGATTACCTAGTCACTTGCTACTTATCACCCAACATCATGCACCAAAATTAGAACTTAGTTACTTGTTTTCATCACCTGACTCCACGCACTAACTTTGGAAAATAGTTATTTATTTCAAAAATAATCAAAAATTTCTCGAGTTAATTGATACCTTATAAGTTATTTACTCGTATTAGTATGTAAATACGCCCCTAGTTATTAATCATTATTTGTTAAGTTATATATTGTCACTAGTTTGTTAGGTTGATACATGTTACTTGTCAACTTAAGATGTTCACTCTTAATGAATTAAATTTAACTGTTTAAGAAGTTAATTGGCAGACATCTTCATCAAGTCATTATATGTTCTTTCAAACGAAGATAATTGCATTAACATAGACATGAGCACTTTACTTTTTTACAATACTCAGAAATTTATATGATGCTTTCTGAAATTTCTATTCTTTATGAACAATTACGCATTTAAAATTCTCATGCAATGTTGTGCATATGACTATGTGCCATTTAATCTAATCATGCATCATGTGACGCCAATACATCCACAAAACATATGGAATAACATTGGTCAACATATTTTCATGCAGCATCAAAATCATGCACAATCATACACTAACATTTGGGAAAATATGTGAATACACATTATGAGGTAAAGACACACCCTCCGTGTTGGGATTTTCAGAAGATGCATGATATGTGAAATTTTCTTTACCTTCAGTCCATAGTATTAACTTCAGGAAGAATAAGTCGTAGACTATAATTAGCTTCAATTGAAACGAAAGCAAATTGGGACATGCAACTTAAACATAGCAGTATATATTCCAGTCGATTTTCACAATTACATTTTCATTAAAAATAGAATGCAGCTTTAGTTAGAGCAAAACCCATAACATATACAGCTATCCAATAGTGTGGCTCATCAAACATAAGTAAAACTTTAGAGTATTATCGATTTATAAACATAGAAGTACATATTCCAGTCGATTTTAACAATTACATTTAGTCAGAGAACGAGGTCAGTAAGGAATTGATCATGACGATATATACCGCCTATCCTTTCATTAAATTAACATGTCCTTATAGAAACTAAAAACCCCACCCTACTGCATTCCAGTTTGCGGTTTGGTTAGAGTAAAAGCCATAACATTAAAAACTATGAGAATCTACAAAGCAATAAAATTCTTTCATTTTTCACAACATTGCAGTTTAATTATATGAAAATCTTGTAAAACTGGACCGCTTTGCGCTACATGAAAAGGAAAGAGGCTAGCTGTAACATGCAATTATCAAACTTTATCCTGAGCATTGATGTACAATATAACGTTGCTTCATTTTCCTAAAATTCCTAGTATTTTTTGCTTTTTTCAAGTTACTTTCACCCCCCAAAAAATGCAATCTTCAACTTCTAAGCAGATCCAATCATAAAACAAACTAAACCACTATAATCCGAACAGAACCCTCATTTAAACAAAACAGAAAAAAAAAAAAAAGGTAAGGGAAAGGCTGCAGATCTCAGCTGAAAAAAGGAGCTAAGCACTAGCATTTGAAAGAGGAAAAGCAAACAAACCTCCAGCATCGTCTTGGTTGGCGATGCTGCT